CTAACTAGAGGAACAACAGATGAGTTACAACAATTGGAAGAGTTAAAACAACTCAAAAAGAAGAAATAATCCTTTATCAAAATATATTTAATCAGAATAAATATTATAATCATCATTATCAATATTCTCGTCTGGATTACGAGAATAATAATCAACATAAATACATCCTTTATTAGAATAGATTTCTGGACCAGAATCATATCCTTGGTCAGAATTTTTAGAAGAATCCTGGAATAATTCAAGAGCATCAAAACAATCAATTCTAGACAACATAGGTTGAGGAAACCTCAGAGCAGAGGAATGAACCTTAATAGTAAAAGGATCTATAATAAAAGTAAGGATTAGAATAAAAATATTCGACCACCATGCACTGCGGGCCAGAGGTAGTTAAAACCTAACTACTCCGGTCTGGCAGTGCATGAGAATCTAACAAGAAAGAATACCTTATCATTCTTAAGAGATAAGTCAGCAAAAACTGATGAAAGATCCTCACATGGAAGTTGAAGAGAAGTATAACAATGGGTATACTTATTATTATGGAAATTAGAGCCAAAAAAATCATATGGCCAAAAATGTTGATTATGGGTTAAAAAATAATAGTGAAAGATTGAAGTGAACCCATCAGAATCAGGACAATTCTCAAAGAGAAAGAAGATAAAATCTTCAAGAAAAGTTATATTCTTTTCAAGAAAAAGAAAATAATCCTTGGAATAACCAATAATGGAATTATCCAAAATATTAAATACCCCGTCATAACCTTCAGAAAAAAGCTTTGATGGATAGGGCTTAACATAATTAACTGAAAAAGTAGATTGCCTACAAAAGCAATTGTAAAAAGAATTAAAGTTAGGAAAGATAGAACTTTTCCAAAGAAGACGGATGAAACCATCAAGAAAGACAACTCTAAGTTCAAGAAGAACGCATGATGAGTAAGCAACGAAATCCATAATAGAAGACTTCCAAAAGTAGACAAATTAGAAAATACAATGAGATGAGAATAATACAAAAATTAATAAACTGAAACAATAGGATAACTAATAGAAAAAGTATAAAAAGGGTTATAAGGAAACCAATTGTATAGATAAAACTCATGAAGAATTTGAGAAAAAAACAAGGCAGAAAAGTTACCCCTTAAGTAGAAAAATAATGCGAAACTTGATAACAACATATACAACACTTGTAATACTAGATAGAAATATTGGATGATACAAGAAGAAAGTTGTAAACCACCTCAAGATAGATATTTCATATACGATGATATTTGGAATAC